TTATTCTCATCATATAACTTCGTATGAAGCTTGGTTCATACGGAACACTGCCCCGTTGAGCTTGCTCAATTTGGTTCCATCTAGCCCTCACTATTATTCAGTATTAGCACTCGTATCGACCGGTAAGACGCAAATCTTCTGTACTGGCCGAGCTAGCTCGTTAGTAGCTGTTCGCACAACCACGTTGCGCACTAGCCCATCTTTGCTCATTATCAGCTCACTAACTCTTCCTAAAGCCCAAGCGGATGGTGGAAAGTTTTCACTCTTGATGATGACTAGCTGGCCGATCTTTAGGCTTTCTTGCTCCTTGCGCCACTTCTTCCTCTCCAGCAAGGTTGTAAGATACTCATTTCGCCAACGTTGCCATATATGAGTTACCATGGTCTGTCTTTCTTGCCATAGCTTCCGCCCTTTGGTGCCTGGTTGTGGCGCTATATCGAATGGAGGAGGGAGAACCAGAGGTTCACCCACCAGAAAATGGCCCGGCGTTAGGGCTTGCACATCCAAAGGATCATCGCTCAATGGGTATAGCGGGCGCGAATTCAAAATTGCTTCTATCTGTGCTAGAAGCGTTAGAAATTGCTCATATTCCAGGCACTTTTGCCCTATAACACGCGTTAAATGATGTTTCATTGACTTTACGGCCGCCTCGTAAATACCACCTTGATGTGGTGCAGCTGGGGTCATAAAATGCCATTCAGTCCCCTTCAGCACTAGCTCAGAAAACATATCACTAGCTCTCCAGCGCTCATAAGCTCTAGCGATATCCTTTGAAGCACCAACAAATGATGTCCCATTGTCGCTGTACATTCTCTCACATCTCCCGCGCCTTGCAATGAATCGCTCATAACAAGCTATAAAGGCTCTAGCACTCAGATCAGTGATCATATCAATATGCACAGCTCTTGTTTTTAAGCACACAAATATGGCTACCCAGCTCTTCCGTTTTACTACGCAACGCCCATTTTTATCTAGCTGTCTGATTTCAAAAGGTCCCGCATAATCCACACCTGAGTGTAGAAATGGTTTCCCGACTTGCAACCGATCCGCTGGCAAGTCAGCCATCAGCTGCTCACTTAACCTTTTGGCATATCTAGCACATGTGACGCACTTATGCGTGAATTTCCTAAGCTCACTTCGTAAGCGCGGTATCCAAAAACGCTGTCGAATGTATTGCATCATCACCTGAGCGCCACCATGTTTAGTGGCCTGATGCGCTTTACTTATAATCAGCTGACTCAAGCTGGAACCAGATGGAATAATTACCGGATGCTTCATTTCATAATCACATTCTGCTCTTCCGATTCTACCACCTACGCGCAGAAGGCCATTTCTGTCTAACGTTGGCTTTAGTGATTCAATTTTGCTTCCTTCAGGCATCGGTGTGTCCCTGGACAAGGCACGAATCTCCCTTAGATATTCCAGCTCTTGCGTTTCTTTAATCATCAGCTCTAAAGCCCTAGACCTTTCTTCAGCAGTAGGCACCGGAATATGAAAGTCTCCACGGCTTGACTTTCGAAGCTGTCGATTACCCTTTGCTCTCAACAGACGCACAAATCTTAGCACTTGCGACATGATCCCAATTAATCTGTCCAATGAACTAGCACATTGTACCAGCGGAACACTTTCCGCATTACCATTGCTCTTAATGCTCCATGTTGGAGTTGCTTCAACTGCAATATGCACTTTCAGCTCCGGCAAGGTTCCTTCAGGTATATGCTCATACCCAAAACCACCTTTTGGCCATTCCTTGCTTGGTTGCCTAAGCCAACTGGGACCATGCAACCATAATTGATGGCCCACAATTCCACTAGCGCTCATACCCCTAGTAAGAAGATCAGCTGGATTATCACTTGTTTTCACATGTCGCCATTTATTGATGTCAGTATTCGCCTGAATAGACGCCACCCTATTTGCTACATAGACCTTCATCTGGCACGGCAATTTCCGTAGCCAATGCAGGACTATGGTTGAATCCGACCACATCACATAGTCTACTGCCTGCCATTCCATGCTCCGTACAACGCTCAAGTATAACCTACCTAAAAGCTCAGCAGCAGCAAGCTCAAGTTTAGGAATTGTTATTGTCTTCAATGGCGCAACTCTAGCCTTGGAAATTAGCAACTCAGAACTTATCATTCCCAGACTGGACACAACTCGCACATAAATCACTGCCCCGAAGCCTTTCTCAGATGCATCCGCAAATCCATGCAACTGAATAGTTGCATCGTTTGATACACGAATATATCGAGGTAACTTGAATCTTTCTAGCTCCGAAATATCTTTCCAGAATTCTAGCCATCTATCTTTAATGCTCTGAGGAACCTGCTCGTCCCATCCCATGCTCAGTCTCCACAAATCTTGCACTATTATTTTTCCAATAAATGTAACTGGTGTTATATAACCATTTGGATCATAAAGTTGTGCAACACAACTTAGAACAATTCGCTTGCTAATCACCACAGATACCTCTGGCGTCTTCACCACAAATGTAAATTCGTCGCTATCAGTATGCCACTTCAAGCCTAGCACCGATGTATCCGCATTATCGGACAGCAACAATGTATTCGGTTCTTTTGATTGGAAAGCATTTACTAGCACTTTGCTATTGGACTGCCACTTACATAGTTCCATACCAGCACTACCTAGCACGAATCTCATTTCTCTAGCTAATCTGATCGCTTCGTCATCATTACTTGCCCCTGTAATTCCATCATCCATATAAAAATCATCAATAATAGCTCTAGCTGCTGATGGAAAATATTCCAACTGATCCCTAGCTGCCTGAATTAAGCAACGCACTGCTAAATGTGCTGATGCAGTCATCCCATATGTAACCACTGTTAAGCAGTATTCACGCAACTTCTCTCTGGGACTCTCCCGCCAAAATATCCGCTGTAAGTCATACTGGCTCTCAATAATTCGTATTTGTCTGAACATCATTTTCACGTCACAGCTTATTCCAATTTTATGCCGCCTAAAACGCATTATAATGTCGGGAAGATCACGCTGCAACTTCTCACCAAGCATTTGAACTTCATTTAGAGAAACTCCTGCATCGGTCTTGCAACTAGCGTTGAATACAACACGAAATTTCTTAAGCACACAATGGTGTGGAATATAGTACACTAGCTCACTAGGAGGCGGACTATTCTGAGCCTCTTTCATGTGTCCAAGTCGCTCATACTCGCGCATAAAATCTATATATTTCCGAGCAATTTCGGGTTCCCTAGCTAATCTCTTTTCCAAATAGAAAAACTGTTTTAATGCAATTGAACGGGAGCTTCCTAATCTACTAGCACTTTTTATGGGGATTGTCACCACAAAGCGTCCAAAATCATCCCGGTAATACGTATCTATAAACATCTGCTCAACAATCTCTTGCTCTTTTGTTCGGATTGGTGAGTCACGGACGTGATCCATTTCCCACAATCGCTGTACTTTCTTATCTAGCTCTTCAAGACTAATGCAACCTATAGTGGAGAAAGCAGTCCCAGTCTCATAGTTCATTGGCTCAATGTATGGCCCAAGCACAACAATACCAAACGTCGTTTCAATCATGGTAGTGTTATCCGAGTTTCTGGCTATTAATCCAATCAGACACTTTGCAAACACTTGCACGCCTAGCACAATCTGCACCTCACGTGATTCCCAATAACAAGGATTAGCAAATGGCACTTGTCCCGGATTCGCCAATCTGGTCAAGCTGGACTGACCAGATGGCACTACTAGCTTCAGCCCACCCTGTCCAGGCAATATCCAAAACTCTGCCTCAATATATTGACGCGACTCATACCATGGCATAACCCTAGCACTTATTTTCTTTTTGACAACAAATGGTTGCCCTTCTATGCCCACCATGTGCCTGCAGACATTAGCCGCAGGCAATTGATATGCCTTGAAAATGTTATGCGAAATCAGATTTGGCTGTGCTCCTGAATCCAACAATGCGTAGAATGGCCCAATTTCAATACCATTGATCTCCAATTGAACAAGGGCAGTAGGTAAAAGAGATCTACTTCGTCTAGTTGCGGTCCCAGATGCCTGGAACTGACCCCTAAACTCTAGCCCCAGCTCATCTTGATCATCAACCAAGTTAAACGCACAGCTGTACGAGGGTGTGTGCACTTCTGCCTGTTTATTACTACTATGCTCTAACACATTAAGTTCCATTACCTCATCTGCTCCTAGCTCCGTCCTGCTTCGTTTACTTGCTTGTCAGAACGTCATGTTGCCATTCTCCGGTTTGCGTTTCACTACCGACTTTGATGGGCTACTAGCTCTGTTAGGATTACCTTTGTCCTGCACCAGCATCAAATGTTTGTTGACTTCCCTGGTTGGGCACAAAACGCTATTATGAAGAATTTTACCCGGACAGCGATTGCAAGGTCCTGAGTAACAATCCTTTGCAGCATGCCCCTGCTTAAAACAATTTGGACATAACTTATGCCGCTCTACGTATGCCTTGCGTGACCGCAAATTCAAGCTCAAGAAATCTGGGCATTTGTAGAGCCCATGATCTCCTTTACATAGATGGCACGGATATGTTTTCTTCTCTCGCTCGTTGCTCTTCTGCCCAATGCTAGCTCTGGTCGTACTCGCTCCATTGCTAGCCCCTTGGTGAGCCCTCTTAATTTGGCTAGCACGTGTTGTCGTCGAAGCTGCACTAGCCTCTCGTGCACGACGATTATCCGCTTGATGTGAGGAAGCGGCAGCCTGCTTATCTAGGAACGTGAGTATTTCAGCTGCTGTTGGCGTTTCGGATTGCCGCTGAAGTTCCCATGCTTTGCCAGTTTCTTCATCTAGGCGCTCATGTAAATTATGCACAACAATCATATCCCAATGCTCAACCGGCAACCCCTGTGCCCGCAACTGGCGTAATGTCTCATGGGTGACATTCGCCATACGCTGAAGTGCATCCGAAGATGCACGCTCCAAAAAAGGCAATCTATAAAATTGACGCAAATACTCACGGCACGTGTGGTATTTCTTATCATACAGCTGTTTTAATCGCTCCCAAGCTTCATGATAATTCTCATCGGTCAACTGCCACTCGCCCAAGGTACGTGCGGCCTTGCCCACTAGCGACTTCTGCAAATAAGTAAACTTAAATGCTGGCGCAACTTGCTCATTATCGTGCACAGCAGCCTTAAATCGGTCATGAAACCCCTTCCATTTTGTCAAAGCGCCATCAAACTCGCCCCAATTGTTTTTCAAATCCATCTGCCGTTGTGGATATTGCAGCTCCACTTGAATATTTGCTGGCGCATTGACAGGCACTGGAGTTGGACATAGCTCATTTATTTTACCCTGCAGCGCAGCACGGGCTTCAAAATAACCTTCTTCGGCTTTCTCTAGCTCTACATCATAATTTTTAGTCTTGTCACCCTCTTTCACATCTAGTACTAGCTCATCATGCAAAGCAATGCACTGTTTCCACCTCCCTTCTAATACTTCTAAACGCGCACTAGCACCGGGATGCGTAACAGAAGCAAACTCCTCACTCCGCACATATGCAGCTGCTCGTTCAATGGCCCGAACACACACACCGACAGCATCTCGACTTTCGCCATCCTGTATTTTTACTACAATGTACCTGATAAATAAAAGAATTTATCATTATTGTAACTAGCAATGAAGAAAACATTTGTATCGCAGATTCTGCTAGCATATATTTGAGCATGCTCAAATGCTAATTCAACTCAAATATCAAATAGAGACCGAACACACATGCGCACGTCTATCACTTGCACATATATTCTCAAGTTGCAGGAGTCCATTCAAATTGAATTCAACTGCCACTAGCACCACGGAAAAATGCCGCTTGCACTTCATTGTTTCCAATTCACTCGCCCACTTTAACAATAAACATTTCCTAGCTCTTGCAGAATGCTCGATATTTTCTTTGCTCTATTTATATGGACTGTATACTAGCGCTTACCGGCAATTTAAAAATAGTTTTTTACTCTTAATCAAATAGTCTCGCTTTTCAATCTTCACTTCACAAAGACTTTCTGCGTAATAAAGCTCGTTACGTCTTTACACAAATCGCTTCATTCAAGCAGACGTACATACGTTAATTTCTAGCACCTTCTATTCACCACACCATACGCTCTTATTGGAAGTTTCGAATTTCATCATTACATCGCAAACTCTTAGCCCTTTGTCTCTATATTTTTCTCGCTCTATCTCGCTTATATAAACGAGTTTCACCATGCTCATTAGCTCTGTTGTACTTTAACCCTTAGGTAAGCTTTGCATTTTATCTAGCTCAATACATGTATTTCTAGCTCATTCCTGCTCACAGGAAACTATTGAAAGCAGCTCTTTGTAATTTGTATGTATGCATGTCTAGCTCCTATTTCATATACCAACAATTTTGGCTTAGCACAATGTAAAAGAACAATCTCCGATTGCACTAGCTCCTATCCGGCTCGACATGGACCAATGTTTAAGTCCCAAAACCCAAGATAAAACGCACTTTGTTTTAGTTGG